TCTCAATCCTCCCTGGGGCTCACAGCACCCTGGAGCTGCAGGTCCCAGGGGATTCAGAAAGAAAAGTATTCCAGAGGCACCGAGTTAGCACTGAAAGAGACCGCAGGCCAGGGGAATACAAAACCGAGCCCAGGCACTACCTATATTCAACTGATTTCTTTTAACAAAGGCATTCAGATCACACTTTGGGAAAAGGAAAATCTCTTCAATAAATGGTGCTGGAGAAGCTGTTTATTCCCATGCTGAAAAAAGAAACTCAATTCCTATCCCTCCACATGCACAAAAATCAACTCAAGGTGACTGGGAAATTTAAAGGTAAGGCCTAAAGTACGAAGCCACTAGGAGAAACAAAAGAGAAATATCCCCTGACCTTATACTGGCAGAGGTGTTTTGTTTTTCGGTTTTTTTTTTTTTTTTTTGTTGTTGTTGTTGTTGTTGTTTTTCTTAGATCTCAAACAACACCAGAAACAACAGCAAAGCTACACAAGCAGAATTACATCTTCTGCACAGACAAAGAAACAAGCAACCATGGGAGAAGCACAGGACAGAATAAGATGGGCCATGGAGCTGGGCCATGGTGGGACATCGCTGAGGGCTGGGAAGGGACAGCACCTGGACACTGGGAGATGGGGAAACAAACAGAACAAGGGTGCACAGGAGTAGCTCGACCCCCAGACAGGTGCCTGGGACAGGGCTGACAGTCTGTGTCAGTCAGTTATTGACGTTTAAAAAGGAAGACAGCTGTTTGATTCATTTTAACATCTCACACTACTTTCTGCCACATTAATTATATCAAATCTCTACACTCTGTGCCTTTATACAATGAACTTGTGCTTATTTTTCAAGGTATGTATTTGTTTGCTGTGGGATTTGACTTGGGAGGAGATATAAAAGGAGCAGAGCCCAACTATAAAGGAAATTCCTGAAAAGATCTTACTAGCCTTATATTCTTCAGGTGTATTTTGTACAGGGATTTGAACCCAGGGCCTTTGCACTGAGCTACATCTCCAGCTCTTCTTTATTTTTATTTTGAGAGCTTTTACTAGGTCAGTAAATATGATCGAAGTGGGGTCACACATGATTGTCCTGCCTCAGCCTCTTGAAGGGCTGAGAGGACAAGAAGAACCACCACACCTGGGTTCCCCTGCATTCTTATAAAATCTCCCTGGCCTCCCTGACTATGCCTGGGCACTGTCTGACTTTCCTGCCATCCGTCTTTCTCAGCTCAGGTTTGCAGTAGAGTTCAAACCCCTTGTGCAGACCGGTGCATACCCGCCTCAATTCCTGTCCCCCCCTTCTCTCTCCCCTCCTCCTCTCCTGCCTCTCTCTCCCTCCCCCTCCTACCATTGGCCTTCCCCTCGGGCTTCTGCTGTGAGAGGAAGCCTGCAATGCTGCGTTCTGCAGGCGGGATTCACTGCCCTGCACCCCACACACTCAGCCCACGTACCTCGTGTCCTTCAAAGGTACTGAGTGATGGAGAGCATCCCTGTCCTTTGCTTGGGGGTTTCTGGTACTGGAGAGAGAGTAGTCGTGGGAGACTCCAGACTTCAGTCCACTCTGAAGCTTCCCCAGATTCTGCACACCTCTCTCCTGTTACTAAGCCACAAGTACCGAATCTTCTTGATCATAAACTGACCTTTGGGGCTGTGACTGTGTTCAGTGCTGGAGCACGTGCCTTGCGCACTTTGGGCCCAAGGTTCTACTCCTGGTACCAAAATCATCACCACCATCATCATCACCATCAACATCATCCTGACTTTTCTCTCTTGCCCCACACTCTCCATGTCTGGCCTCCCTCCTGCACCCCCAGCACCCTGGCTACCACAGGTCCTGATGCTCAGCCACAGGACGTCTGTGCCTGTGTCCCCCTTTCCCTCCCCGTGGGAGCCCTGCCCACCTGCCTTGCTCTCTAGTCCTCCATCCCATGCCCATCCATGCCCACTGCCCATGCCCAAGCTGGTGGTGACCCCTAGGAATATGGGGTACTTTGGGCACTGAGCTCGGTTTTGACCTCTGGGCATAATTTCATGTTTTTCTGCTCTCTCCCCAATGCCAGATACCCCCAAGTGGCTCCAGGTTTCTCTTAACTGTCCAGGTCCACCTCGGTCCCCTTCCTCTCCTTTCATTCTGTGGAGGGTAAGGCTGGCTGGCATGAAGCTTCACCTCTTCTCCCATGCCCCAAGTCTCACCAGGGGGTTCAAGATAAACCCCTCCATTTCAGTTCTGTCTCCCTTTTTCCAGATCTTAATTCATCAATTGACTTTACTCTTTTTTTTTCTTTTGGTAGCTCATATTGATCCCAGCCTTTGTACTGAGCTGCATTCCCAATTCTTCTCTTATTTATTTTTTAATTTGAGACAGTATTTTTCTAAGTCACTAAGGCTGGGCTTCAACATGGGATTCTACTGCCTCAGCCTCCCAAGAGTGCTAGGATTGCAGGCATGGCAACCACATGGGATTTATTTGATACTTTTGAATGTTCCAATTATGCTCACCTGCTCATCCCATCAGCCTGCTCTCCACTATTCCTTACTACACACACACACACCCACACACACACACACACACACACCCACACACACACACACACAGAGTTTTCTCATGTCTTCTACTTGATTTCCATTCCGTCACTCTGTCCCATCTGCCCTGTGGATTCAGCTGACGCCTGGACTCCCCTCCATGGTGACCCTGGAGCATTCCCTGTACCTTCGCTCCTGCCTGTCTGCAGGCTGAACCCCCTTCTGGGGCTGCAGTGTCCAGCTCTTCTCTCCCTGCCCTCTGCAGCCTTCTCCTGAGTCTCTGCCTCAGGCAGCACCTCGCTGACCACCTTGATCCATCAGGACTGAGTCAGGGTGAGGGTTCAGGCCCTGATGACTTCGCTGCTGATTTTCTCTGCAGCACTCTGACCTTTCCTGTGTGTAGTCACCTTCATGAGCAGACACAGCTGCCACCTCTGACCCTGCACCGGGCCATCTGTCCCCTTCCCTGCACAGAGAGCTCTTCTCCAGGGCGCTTCCACAAGGCCACCAGACTGAACAGGAAGTCATTCAGTAGAAAAGGCTGGGTCTTACATTTCAGGTTCTTAGATCCTCTCTTCCCCTCATCTCCAGCACCATGACCTCTTCTCTGTCTGCCTGACCCTTGTCATTGCTTCCCATACTCACCCGGGCCTGGCCTGGCTCACCTCTGAACTGTGACAGCTGTCCAGCCAGTGGGTCACTACATTGGGACTGGCCCTTTCCACAGAGTCACAGCTTACAGATCCACCCTTCTTCACACACCTTGGACCCTCAGATGCCTGGAAAGACGTCCCCTGGTGGTCAAAGTCCATCCTTCTTACCCGGTCAGTCACAGTCCAGGAGAATCTGACTTCAACCCATCTCTCCAGAGAGATCAGCTTTTTCCTCCCTGTATGCCACTCTGTGATGAAATTGGCCTGGTCTCTGCCCTGTCTGAACACACACTGCCAGGGCTGGGGCCCAAGCTCAGTGACAGACAGAGTGCTCAGCAAGAGTGAGGTCCTGGGGGCCACGCCCAGCACTGGAGAAGTAAAGCCCTGTCTTGCAATGCTAAAGCCCATGCTCAGCTTCCTGACCGCAGATGTCTGCCAGGCTGGTGGCCCCTGGGCTGGTGCTGTGACCTAGTGCGGGGCCTGGGCTCCTCATTAACAGGACTTAGCATCCAGTCACTACCTCTTACTAACTTGCAGAGGCCACTGCTGCTGATTTGAGAGGATATCAGCTTTCCAACCAGCAAGGTGGGCACATATGACCCATCCTGCAAAACTGGTGTGAAAATTAAACCCGGGTGTTAAATCTCTCATGGGGTTCCTGGTTCATCTCAGCCCCTTCATGCATGTCCCGCTGCCTTCCTCCTCCAGCTGACTCTGTGCATCTTCACACTGCTGTCAGTCACAGCATCTTAAATGCTTTATATCACCAGTTATCACTATGAAATCCTTATGGTTCCACAAGTGAATTTATGTTAAGAACTGGTCATCGCTGGTGCTGAGTCAGCAGTAGAGCTCTTGTCTGACATGAGCGAGGCTCTGAGCTCAATTTTCCCACATTGAAAAGATAGATTGGCAGGGAAGAGAAAACAAATACGGAACAGTGAAGGAATTTTACGAGAAAGTGAAAGCATGTGAGGATAATCACAGTGGTGCCTCTGTTTAGAAACTTAACTCTCTCCAGGACTCTGGTCACAAACTGAATTGGATAAGAACCGAATCGAATCCAATGGTTAGGTTCAAAGTGGACCGTAGGAGAAAATTTGATTCAGCTTTCATCAGTTTGGGGCCAGAATCATGGCAAGAATTAAGTTTGTGAACTGAGGTATCACTGTCCTTAGCATCCGTTTCTATGAGACTTAATATTTCAACAAATGTGTTTTGTGCATAAATTATGATTGATATGGTCTATTGTTGCTAACATTTCCTGTTTCATTCTTTAACGGAAAACCAAAAGGAAACTTGATAAATTATAATTTGCCCATTCAATTAAAGCAAATAAAGATTCCTTTGAACTAATAAATTAACTCTGCATTGTGCCATTTAACAAGATAAGATCTAGTAATCCACACTGATCCCTGCAGATAAGCCATGGGCTGAGGCCCCTGCATAAATCACATCACATCCCTCAGTGGGGTCTGTGTTCTCCTTTGCATAATCCTATACTGTGGTATCCTTAAAGTGGGAGTTCCTCTTGCTTCTGTAAGATGTCAGACAGCCACAGAAACTCTCTCCTGGCTTCTGTCCTTCTCCTGGGGGACAAGGCCATAGTCCTCAGAAAGTTGGACAACTCAGCTGGGACACAGGAGCAGGAAGCACCTACCCCTGTAGGCCCTCCTTGGCAGACCAGTGCTCCCTGGCAGACCGGCTCCCAGCAGGAGTCTGGGCTTTGTGCTTTGCTCTCTTTCTCCACACCATCCCTGCCTCCTTCATTTAAAAGACACTGCTCTTTTGAAAGCAGTGAATTCTGCTGCACAAAAGAGAACCTTACCATAAGGTCTCCAGTCCATGTCTGGGGGCAAGTGTCTCCACAGAATGAGGTTGTTCAGATGATTGAGGTAGGAAGGCAGGGAGTGAAAGCTCTTCTGGTTAAACCACACCTGGAAAAGCACAGGTGCATTAGTGCTCTCCTCCAGGTGCGTGCTCCTCAGTCTCTCCCAGGTGCAGGACTGCAGGTGTCAATCAGCACCCACAGCACCTGAGGACTGGACATCAGCCTGGCTGACATCAAGCAGCCAATTCCAGGCTGCTAATTTTATATTTATCTTAAGCATATAATTTACAGCTAAAATAGATTAATTTTTCCCAGAACAAATGTGAATGTTGTGGCTAATCATAGTCTCGGAGGGAACAGGGAACTGAAGCCTGACATGTTTCTTCCTCTCCTCTTCCTTGGATGGTGAGCTAATGAAATTTGACCTGCAAATTCAAACCATGGAAGATGATCAGAAGGAAAAAATGACTTTCAAATTAATAACACAATGTAGGACGTTATTCCTCAAAATAAATTGGACCCAGGGGCTGGGGGTTTAGCTCAGCGGCATAAGCACCTGCCTTGCAAGCAGGCGGTCGTGAGTTCGATCCCCGGTACCGATAAAAATGAAAAAGACCAAAAAAAAAAAAAAAAAAAAAAAAAAAAAAAAAAAATAAATTGGACCCAACATTTGCTGAGCATGGAGAAGGAAACTGCCCCTCTTAGTGAGGAGCAAGGTGTGAGAGGAAGTGAGAGAGAGAGAGTGTGTTATTAAAGCTGGATAATAAGTATCACAAGGGCTCTAATCAAACCATCACTACCTACATGGCAAAATCTCCGTGCTTTCCTGAAAAGTTGGCACTCAGCCTGGGAGCTGCTGAGTATCCTGTAGAAATACAAAGAACCAACCAGAACAGCAGATCTTAATTCACCCACCAAGGCGCTTGTCTCTCTACAGGGCATCATCTTTTGCAAGAGAGGATCCACTGGTGGGCACTGAGGCTGCCCCAGCAAGTGTACCTGCTTCAGGGGTCACCAAAGTTTACATGAGGTAAGACCCAGACCTGCAGTCTCTGCCTGTACCACATCGTGCTACAACCAACCACGTTTTATCCAAGATCCTCTGGGGGCAGCTACTGTGTCCCTAGGACTGCTACGTGATCAGGGATCCTGGGATCCTTTAAAAACCAAAGCTGGACACCGCTGAGCAAGACAGCATTCTCCCTCTCTTCCTCTGCCCACCTCCTCCAGCAGTTCAGAAAGGAGAACCCCCTTCTCAAGTATTTTAACTCCACAGAGAAATTCTGGCCAGGCCCCCTTTAAGCTCCAAGGAGAGGGGGTGTTACCTTTTACTCATCGCTGAGACAAAATACCTGAAGCCCAAAGCTGGGAAAGGAAAGGTTTATTTCTTAAAGTTTTTGGAGGTTTCAGTCCACACTCAGTTGGCTCCAAGGCAGGGTGGTATGGCTGGGCCGCAGTTCATGGCGGCTGCCAACTGCAAGCAGGAACCAGCAAAGAGCAAGACACACCTTCTTCCTGCCATTACAACACATCCTGGCTCCACCCCTATGTGGGTGGAGCCCTGACACCATCAATCCAAGCACTAGACAATGAACCAATCACAAATGCACAATGCAAACTCATGAGGTCTGGGGGACACAGACATAAACCATGACGTTGTGAAGCTGGAAAGGTGCTCAGCGCAAAACTGGGGACATGCCATGAGAGTCTACAGACTGGGGCTAGGGCTGGTGAACCCTGCACCACAGACAACAAGGGCGGCAGATCCGAAGCAGCTGAAACCACAACTCTTGCTAAGGAGCGGAAGGGCCGAGCTCCTCCAGTAAAGAGGGCAGCTTCCAACTCAGCAAGCACAACTCACAGCTCAGAAGCAGGTCCAGCCGCTCCACCTGCCTTGCTAGAGGCAGAGCTCAGAGTTCCTTCCACACAGCTGGAGCTCCTCGGAGTCACCCTGGAATCAAGCCCACCCCAGGCATGCCTACACAGGCACCCTACTTTGGAACTCACAGATAAGGGACAGGCTCCTTTAGAAAACTCTGGCCTCTGGAAGCTGGGTTCCCCTGGACCCCACCTGAGATGCTCTGCCTTCTGTTTCTATTTTGGTTAGTGCATGCTTGCAGTACAAAAGGATAAAGTTCCTCATGGGGCGTTGGTACATGTACCTAACACATCTTTCTGTTTTTGTTCTGTTTTTTGAGTCAGGGTCTTGCTGCAGTTCAGGCTGACCTTGAACTAACTCACTATATACTCCAGACTGGCCTCAAATGCCTGGTGATCTTCCTACCTCTGCCTCCCAAGTGCTGGTATTACAGGGTGCACCATGCCAGGTTACCTAACACATTTTAATTCTTTTTATTTACCCTTCCCCCCATCTTTAAGAGAATCTCTTTTTTGAGAGATACAGTCTCTCTATGTATCCCAGGCTAGCCTTAAACTCAGGATTCTCCTGCCTCACCCTTCCAGGTACTCAGATTACAAGCATGAGCCACCACACACAGCTTGATCTTCTTAAATATTTAGCTGGAGGGAAAAAAATCATAGAACTAATGCTGGCCTTAGCCTGAGGACTAAGGCATTCAAATTTTGTTTTGTTTGCTCCACTTGTGTTGTTTCAGTCTCTTTAATCTATGTTTTAAAAGCAGGATGACTTCTTTACAACTTACAATGACACAGTCCTGTGGCACACAGAAAGGGAGGTGGGGCTGCTGGGGAGTCAGGAAGCTGGGGGGACAGGGTCGCCCTCCTCACCCTGCCCATCTTGTCCTCCTGGGCTGAGGGCTCAGCTCTAGAAGCCTTCCCATTCCTGGGCTTCCCATGCTCACAGCCAGCTGCTTTTCATGCCGCTCCAGACTGACCAGGCTCTGCCACTGGACTGGCTTTGGCTCCTAGCCTGTGACACTGGTAGCAGTTTAACAAGTGCATGTCTATCCTGCGGTCCTGCCTGGGCCTCTGATGTCACCCAAAGAGAGCACAGCCTGGGCCTCCCTACCAGAAGTCAAGACATAGGCTAAGCTGAACCCCACCTCACACCAAGCAAATTCCTCCAATTGTGTATTCCCTGGACAGTCTATGGACCTCACCCAACTTCTAGTCCTTGCCTCCTCCCAGCTCCCCTACCTGCTTGATCCAGCCTGGAGATCTCCCCGCTATGGGAGAAGTCAGAAAGGTACAGCCTACAGGACAGGACAGCATACTTGTCCCCCCATGTCCTACATGAACCAGACATGCAAGGGAACTGTCCTTCAGAGTGACCATCTGAAATTTGTGCTTCTTGGTTTAAAGCCAAAAATTAACTCTCCCTGTAGGAAACCCGCCCATCTCATTGGGCCATCCTCTGTCCCTCTCCCTCCTTCCTCCTATTCCTTTCTCCCTCTCTTCCCCTCCCTCTCTCTCTCTCCACTTTGACCTCTGTGCATGTGGCCTCTGGACATGCAATGGTCCCCTGAGGACCTGTTCACTTCCACCTTGTGTGTGCACAGATCTTAGGAGCCAAGGTGACCTGGCTGCCCACTGCCGATGAACCTTGCAGGCTGCTCCGTACATGGTGTGTAGTGTTGAGGCCTCTGAGGTTCCCTATCTCTGTTATGCAGCAATGCTGTGGTGAGAGACAACCCATGCGGTGAGAGCACCAGCAGGTACCTTACTGTCACAAAAGCTGGAAATGGGTGTCACTGCTTTCAAGGTCCACAAGTAGTGGACCCAGAGACACTCAGTGAATATAGAGGTAGTTGATAAAACCTGTGGGAATGCTGGAAAAAAATGCCAAGAAAACTGCTGTTGGCAACTATAACAAGTGCAAGGTCCTAAGTTTGATTTCTGGTACCAAAACTAACTAAATGAATAATAAAATAGCTACTGAAATTGTCAACTTTGAAGCTACAATGTGTGCGGTAAACCTGGGTTGGGGATTCCTAGGCAGAAAGTCAACAATGGCTTCAGAGCCAATATCCAGGGTGTGGCTCTGAGCACCTGTTAAGATTGCTGAGAGAAGGATGGTGATAGGGGATGTTCCTGGAGCACAGAGGCCTGGAGCTTACGGAGTGCTGCTCCTGGCTCCCTGATATTCCCTAAATCCCAGTGAGGGTAGCCTGCACCAACAAGAACCCCAAACTTGGCTTGCAAAGCTGAGTTATGGAAAAAGCCTCAGACACTGTGTAAGGCCCTCCAACCTGAAGCCAGGCTTGGCAGGGCTCAGTGTGAAAGCACTGTCCAGCTGGAAACAGAGTCCAGCTTTCTAGGATTAGCCAAGAGCACCCTCTTTACACCACACTGCGAGGCATTAGGGGCAGGAAGCACACGGTGGGCAGGAGGGGGAAGGGGCCTTGTGGGTGATGAGCTGACAACTCTGCCAGGGGCAGAATCAGGGCCAGCGTGAGCACAGCCCACAGTAGTCTGTGCTGCACCAGTGAGCCCCCATTCCACTCCTGTCAGTCTGCCTTCATCTGAGAGAGGTTCTACCAAGGTCTTCAGTAACCATAACCGGTGCACACTGCATGCTGACCTTAAAATTAGCATATGGGATTTTGCCATATTCGAGGAAAGGCTTTCCTCTCTTTTATCTTTCTCCTCCAAAGAGAAGCTTTCTAGAGCTGCCCTGTGTTCTGAAAAGAGGTCGTGGGATTTCTTTCTCCACTGTCCAGAGAGTGGAGCAGGAAGTTACTCTCCTCTCAAGACCATACTGAGCCACCAGGAAACACCTCCATCTCCAGAGTTAGGAGTCCTGGCTTGCAGAAAAGTTCCCAGGCAGTAGTGGGAAGAGATGAGCACTGAGGGGGCATTTACTCCAGGGGGGATAAAATCCAGGACAGGACACAGTGTGTGCCCCAAAACGGAGACAATGCTTAGTATGTGTTTGGATTTTGATGCAAAGCATGCATGCTCTAAAGGGTGCTTTGATTAAATAAGCTAAACACTCAGGATGTGGGTAAAGTAGCTCATGCTCAGGTTACACAAGAGACTTCTACAGGATCATGAGTCATAGGTTGTGCATATCATGGGCAAACTTCCCTTTTTTCTGCAAAAGGACTATGAAAATTGTACCACAGGTGTCTTGTGCATACAGCCTACAGGCAGAAAGGAACAGCTGCTCATTAAGCCCTGAAGGTCAACGCAATCATGTGATGGGACATCAGCCAGCCCAGCCTCCAGTGGACGCAGTAGAGGGCAGACTGCTCTTTACAGCTCACTGTGGCATCGGCCTCCTCGGAGCCCTAGAAAGACCCTCACTGCCCAGAGGTCCACATGCAACTCATTCGCATGCCTGCACCTGGCAAAACAGACATTAGACTCCAGGAAACTCTCCAGAAATCACAATTGGACACAGCTGGTTCAGTGCAGAAGGGCTGTCTAAAATAAGGCGAAAGGAAGGGGTGTCGGGGAGATCTGGCAGCCCCAACCCTTCCCAGGCAAAGTTATCAACCCACATTCTGGGTGTCTCACAGTTAAGATGCAACTGTGCACTGTAATTAAGATGGCTTTGGAGATAATCAGACTAAAAAGTCCAAGTGTGCACCCCGGAAAGAAACAGATTCCTTCCACAAGTTAAGTCTGTATCAATAATGGTGTGTATGTGTTCCAAAACACAAAGAAAATATGTCACAGGTGGTTTTTCTCCAAGGTACAAATGATGCCAGTTTCATACTGAGCTGTGAGTCTTTCCACTGCTTTGAAAGGAAGAGCAGTTTTCACGGACCTCAGCAGAAGAGATTTCTAAATCCCCACACTGTGACTTAGAATCTTCTTCTGGGATTAAATGGTGAAGGGTGACTGAGGAGGTTTTCACTGGGGATGACCAGGGGAAGGGCCTATAGGAAATTTATCCCCTGGGTGAACCTCCAGGTGCATGGGTCATCATCCAGCCCAACTTTCTCAAGCCCACTTGGAGGGTGCACATCGCTGTAGGAGCACAGAGAGGCCTCCAAGGACCTGCAGAAGTCTTGTGTCATCAGCTCTGTGGTAAGCCTGCGAGCAGGCACCATACTCGGGCTAAGCAAAGACAGGGCTCTGGGCCATTTCTGCACTGCTGCCCTAGCTAAACTCACGCCATCCTCTCCAGTGTCCCCTTGTCCTCTCCAGTGTGTGCCCAGGCATCACCACACTGTCCCCCAGGGCTGAGGATGAAAGCCTTGCCGCTGCCATCTCTGCCCATCTTTCTGGTTGTGCTAATCTCTCTTCTGGGAAGACCTGCCCTCCAGCCTTTGTCCCTGCAGGTGCTGAAGTCTCCTGTCCCCCAATCCCACAGCCCCAGCCCTCCCACCTCCTCTCTGAAGGCCCTCAGAAAATTTCCTAATGCGCAGGACAGTCCTGCCCAGGGCCCCTAAGACTGGTCCTGTGTCACTGCCTCTGTCTCTGTGTCAGTCGAGTCCACCCCATCTCCTTTAAGATGAGGAGTTCAGGTTTGTACACAAATGTTCCTTGGGCACGGGGATAAGAGTTCATTCCCAGTTAATGTGACTATGGGAACATTGAACACAAAGTGAGCTTCCTACTTGCATCACATCTGCTGGTCCTGTTCTGACCATAAAGATCAGTAACCCACTTGTCCTATTTCTAAACCACTGCAGGGACAACAGTTCAATTTTCTCTTCCAAGGGGATGTTTACACACAAGCAGCCTCAGTTCCAGCCCGGGACAGCATCTGTCCCTGCCTCCAACTCTGCTCAGAAACACCTTGCACTGCTGCTGCTGTTACTGCTGCTGTGATTGTTCCTGTTGATGTTGATGTTGGTTTTGTTACTGGACAGGAAGCCCAGCCCTCACCCTGAGCTGCATTCCAGGCCTTTTATTTTGAGACAGGGTCTCAGTCACCTCTAAGTTGCCTGGGCTGGGCTCAAGATTCCTATTCTCCTTCCTCAGCTTCCCGAAGCATTGAAACTGCAGGCCTGTGCCACTGTACTCCACTTATGTTGTGTTTTTAGCTGCTCTGGCTACTTTCTAAAACAGAGAGAAAAGGGGAGAAGCACCATTACCTTTGCCGGAGGTCTTGGTTTTGTGGCATTGGCATTCACGTCTTGAGCTCCACCTAGGACCCTCACTCCGAAAGACCAGCCGCCAAGGCTGTAGACAGTAAACACAGTGTCAGCATCTGACCAGGCACATGGGACATGGGAGGGCACGCAGGGGACATTCACCAGCTGCACTGGTCAGAGTAATTACATGGTTTTCTGCCAGGCCTGGGGCAGGACCAGGTGAGACACAGAGGGGGCGTGCCAGACAGGCACCCAGCACAAGCACTGCTTGGGAGAGGACTGGGAAGAGCAGACCACAGCTGAGCATATGCTGCTTGGAAGAAACTGCTTGGCCAGGAAATGCAGTCACCTGTGACCACGGCAGTGACCACAATGCTACACTGGACTTAGGTCACGGTGCTAGGAAGCCACCACTCTGGGGACTGCAGCCATCTCGACCCCACTGTCCCCTTGGCCCATCACCCTTCTCTGCTCCCTTCTTTCTCCAGTCTCCTACTACCTAGTCCTGGGAGGTGTTGGGACCAGAGGCAGGCGAGATTCCCCTCCCTTTGGAATTCCCCCCACACCCTATACCTCCATCCTGTATATTAAGTGCCCTGCATGATTTGGACCCTGGGCTTGTGAGCTCATGGCTCAGGCAGGTCTCCAGCGACTGATGACACCACACTGACTGTACTCCCAAAACAGCAGACTTGAGAGGCACTTAAGAGGCACTCAAAGGTGCCTCTTAAGCTTGATTTCCAGCCACTGGATAGAAAGAGATTTTCCAGTGGCTCCCTGGACCCACTGGAAAAGCTGAGACAAAGGGACAGGAATGTGACCTCCCCACATGGGCTGAGTGCCAACCACAGCCACGCAACAACCGTGTGCGCATAGGATGGTAACTCCTGGGATGCATACTTTCTGATCCGCCAGAAACAGCTTCTGAGTGTACAAGTTCCTAGCCTTGAGGAGTGAAGGCCAGGGCCACAGGCCAGGTGATGGACACTAGGAGATGGCAGCAGAGAGCTGCAGGGAGGCCACACTGAGATAGCTACGCTGGTATCGGGGGCCTGTGACACCAGGGCCAGCTTCCTCGCAGCCCACGTGGTGCCCATGTGTGTGATGCCACTTGTGAGCTTCAGGGAACTCAGAAAACTCAGCAGTGTGGCAAGCATTGCCCAGATTGAAAGCAAGAAGTTTTCAGAAATATTCCCCAAACTCCCAAACTTTCCAGGGAGGAATTTTAAAGTGGGAGTTACACCCCGCTCCCATGCTGCTGGGAACCCTAAGGAGAGGCACTGTTTCATTTTATGTCAGCAGCAGGATCCCTGTGGGCTCCTCTGCCTGGGCCACTGATGATGGAAATTGAGATGATTCCCCATCACTTCCATACCAGAAGTCAGCAGAGAGGAACCTGCTCAGGGCAGCAGTTGGGCTCTAGGAGCTGTGGGAGCACAGCTGGGGGTCAGACTTCTGAGTTTTGGGGAACATTTGCTTGTGAGACATTCTGTTTCCATGGCTCTGTGTCTGTGAATCCCAGCAAGCTTGGATGGAAAGTATTATAGAAAAACAGAATGTGTCTACATGGTGTGGACAACTGACCTTTGTCACCATTCCCTGAACATCATAGAGCACAGCTGTTTGCGTAGCAGCTACATCATACCAGACATGACAGTCATCTGGAGATAGTTTAGGGCACACAGGAAGTTTCAGGAACATTTCATGCAAATACTGTGCTACTTTTTATTAGGCCATGTTTGTGTCTTAATGTTCACCTTCCCTGAGCAGAGCTCGTGTGTGTGCATTCACATCTTCACTCTTTTTCCATCCCTTCCCCCTCCCTCCCTTTCCCTGTCCCTCCATTCCTTGATCCACTTCCCTTTTGGTAAGTAGTTTCCTATTATCTATCCTTCATTGTGTTCTTTATTTATCATCTGAGTTTCTCACATTAGAGAAACAATGTGATATTTAAATTTGTATGTCAGATTTATTTCACTTAACGTTACGGTCTTGAGGTACCTTCCTCATCCTACAAATGGCCATGCCTATCCTTCTTTAGGACACAGTAGTGCTCCATTTGTGCGATAATGTGTTTCTTTCTAGTCATCTGTGGATGGATGGATGGCTGCTTCCAGGGTGTGGCTCTGATGAATTGGGAATGGATATGCATGGACCACTGCAGATTGTACCTTCATCTCTTTCAGAAGACATCTAGAGAGTCCCTGATTCCATCCCTCCAGACAGCCAGGGGTAACTATAACCCAAAGATGACAGAAAAGACCCAGGGACAGTTCTGAACCCACCTTGGATTTTCAGATGGCACCAGTAAGTCCTGCTCCACTGGGAACTCGGAGAGATTGAACAGGGTGTGGCCCAGGTTGTTGGTCAGGTAGGGCGCCCCTGCACTTCTGTTCAGACACTTCTGCCATTGTTCCCAAACAGATGGAAAAGAAAAATTATGAAAACCCACACACTGGTTCTCCAACATTGCTTTAAACTAAGCGTGACTTTCCCTGGCTTTTGATTTTTAATAAACTACTCCAGCCTTGGTATGCACTGCGATTTCTCAATGTCTTTAAGAGTCCCCTGCATTTGAGGATTGTGGGGAATTCCACAGAGATGAGCATTCAGTTATATCTGAGGACTTCAGTCCTTCTCTGTGTGTAGGTTCCAGCGGATCTGTGAGAACTGGAAAGGGGAAAGTGTTTCCACCGGGTGATCTTGGGTTTGATAAAGCTGAGAGAGAGGGGTGTCCAGGGGGAGGTGGGCGGCAGGAGAGCTCCCAGGCCTGTGCTCCCCTCCTAAGTGTTTGAAGTGGAATTCATGCAGCCCTTCCCCATGGCTGGGACAGTGACAGCTCCAGGTTGGACCCAGAAAATGAGCACCAAGCAAGGGAGGAGCCAAGGGTCACCCCAGGAGGCCACAGAGGTACACAGCTGAGGTAATGCTTTTGCTTCCAGAGCAGTGGAGGAGAAGAGAACACTGCCCCTTTCCTTCAGGCCCTGGAAGTGCCTGTTCTCACCTGCAGAAGAGGAAACAAAACCAGCTCGACCTAGTGTATGGCTTTGCTGTTAGTTTCAAAAATGCATTTTTTAAAAAAGCATAGAGAAGTAACAAGGTTATTGAGGCTGAAAGTATTATTTTTAGGCTTCTGCTAGACAGGCCTGGGGGAAGACATGAAAAAGAAATATCCTTGTTGTCAATTAGAGTTCAGCCAGACTCTCACTCCCAAGTGGGATCAGAAAAAGTCAAACCCAAGGAAACAGAAAAATCACTGTTGCCAGAGGCAGGGCCAGTGGGGATTAGAGAGATGTTGGCAAAGGACAGGAAACATCAGTTACATGGGAAAATATGTTTAAGAGAGTGATGAGACCCAAAATGTACAGTAAATATTGTAATAAGAGAGGGAAAGAAAGTGCTCAGAAGGACACAACAACTGGGATGGGGGGAGGAAAAAAAGGAAGAACGGAAAGGATTTTACATATACAAAAGTATGGATTACATGTATGCTAGATAGATAACTGTACTGCTAATCTCTGTTAGGTCATCAAAAGGAACAGTTTGTGCTGTTGTTGTTTGATGGATCATTTCTGAGCCTGGATTTTGTAACATGCACAACTACTTCCAAGATGACAATATGCAATATATTAACTAATTAATTAGTGTTAATTCCCTACTTTTTAAAAATTCTGTTTCATTTCTACCCTTTTTTCTGTTTTGCTTTTTAAACTATGAAACAAAATTAGAAAAATAAAAAAGAGTGCGATGTGGTGACTGCAGTTGAAAACAATGTACTGTGTGTCTGAAAACTGCTAAGAGAGTGCTTTCCAGTCGTGTTCACCACAGAAGTGTGAGCAGGTAACACGTGGTACAGAGCCACCTTACGCTGTTTAACATCTGCACCCTCTCTGGAAAAGCTAGACTCAGCCACTCCAAAATACATGCGGGTGTCACAAAGGCGCTGTACACTGTATTCGATTTCCACTTGTCAACTGAAACAGGTGGGTGAATAATGCAGCCAAGCCAACTATCAGGCTCACTGATTAACACAGCAATCTTCAAACTTTCTCTGCTCCTAGCATCTCTTCCTCTAATTCATAGTATCAGTGCATCAAGTTAACGTCTTTCTGCAATGCTAATGTGATTTTTCCAAGTCCTGTGCTTCATTCATTATTTCTGAAACTTATTTGGCTGCAGAACTTTCCACCCGAAACCTTTTATTCTTCCGTACACTTGCTGAACCTTCATAGTTCCTGTGTATCAGAAGCGATTTAGGGTCAAGAACATAAAGCACTTTGATATTTATCCATTTGTTCCTTAGTCACCAGCATGCCATCTAATCGGAATAGACTTTGGTAGCTGGTGAACAAAAGCTCCTGATACAACAGGACACTCAGTCAAGGCTAAAGCATAAAAACGCAGAAAAACATTACAGGGTTTATGAGTACACAGAAGATGCAAGACAGAGAGAAACAAATAGTAGTGTCCCCCAAAACAATTCTTGAGCAGAAGCGAGCTGGTCAGAGCAAAGGAGCCTCAGATACAGGTGAGTTCAGGAGGCACCGGGCCAACAGCAGCTCTGCTGAGCCTGGCAGCTCTGGGGCCACCTCTCCGGGGCTGGGTTCTGGGTTCCTGTTCTCCTGAATTCCCAACTTTGATCTGAGAGAGGCAAGGAGACCCCAGCTCCGCAAAGCAAGCTTTCTACAGTCACCAACAACTGCGAGGACCACAGCTTTGCACTGCTAAATAGAAAGGGCCACACTCTTCTTGTGGCCATTTCCCTTATAGATCCTCAACTTGGATATTTCCCCTTTTTTAGATAAATGACAGTTGCCGCATGAGCCACATGAGCCTTGTACTAACTAGTTGTGGAGATTTCCCTTGAGACAAGTTCCAATCAGATCTCCACACTGATTTCAGCATGTTTCCCTTCACAGATCAGGCAGTGACATCCTTCACATTAAGAAGGGAAGATTGTTAAGTGTGGTGGTGCAAGCCTGTCATCTTAGCTCTCAAGAGGCTGAGGCTGAGGCTGAGGCTGAAGTCACTGTAAGTTCAAGACCAGCCTGGGCTACATGGTGAGTGCAAGGCCAGTCTGTACACGCAGTGTGACCCTATCTAAAAAAAAAAAAAAAAAAAAAAAAAAAAAAAAAAAAAAAAAAGAATAGACGATCTAGCTCTACACACTCTGTGCAACTTAGTCACACATAGGGATGCTGAGTGGAATCTTAGCTGTTAATATCCAGCTCTCAGAACTCAGATAAAACTATGATGAGCACCTGGAGGTCACTGCACCTAAAGCCTGAGGAAATGCACCGCTATGGGATGATTCTGGCTTCTCATCATTAATGGAAGACAACTCACCAGCTTCATTAAGACCTCTGGGGTGGTGGGGGCGTTAGTGAGCAGCTGCAGGAGGCCAGGATTTGTTGGATTCTGGGATTACATGGTGAAATTTTTCCTAGCAGCAGCCAATCAAGTGAACCAAAAATTCACAGTGACTTGGAAAACAAAAGAGAGGACTTTGCAGTTGGAGAAAAACTCAATCTTTTTCTTTTTTATTGGTACCAGGGATCGAACTCACGACTGCCTGCTTGCAAGGTAGGTGCTTATGCCACTGAGCTAAATCCCCAGCCCCATCTTTTTCTCTTGAAGTTCTTGTTTAAAGATTAAAACTGCTGCAGAGCTTACCAGGCAGCCACAGGAATCCTGGAATTCAGAGGGAGAAAAGGGGTCCCTGTGCCAACATGAAGAATTCATCCTAAAGAACAAAAGAGACACCTGGAGTGAACCTCCCATCACAAAGCTGTTTTATTTGCTTAAAAGAGAGTTGGGGCCCAGGGAGCAAACCCCACAAGATGATGCCTCCAGTGCCTGGGAGGCTAAACTCTGTATTCCTCCTCACAGCATGAGCTGCTAATCACAGGGCAATGCTTTATCACGGGACCAACACTTCCTTCATGGGACAGGAGCTCGCTCAGCTTCCTGTGCTGGGCCTACCAGCCTAGCTCCCAGACTTTGCAGGGAATTCCTGGGCTTCGGTGGGGGGCAGAGGTGCACTGTCCCATGATGAGACACCAGGAGGCCATTCATTAACAAACCTAGCAGATCCCTTTCTGTGGCATGACCCAGGGACTTCATTACCCTGCAGGTGGCAGCCAGGATGACATCTCCACTACAAGAAGCTCGGGATGGTGGAGGGTTAGGAAAATGTACAGCAGTGGTTCCAAAGCTTTTTCTATTACAGATTTTCCCTGTTAATCTCGGGGGCTCCCTACTACCAATTTTTTTCTAACACGCATAAATCAAAATTTACTTGAGTAATGGTAATCATTCTTAATTACTCAGACATTGGGAGAGAACAGAGAGAACTAACATTTACTGGATTGTAGGGATGTGCTAGACATTTTAACGAATTCTTTCCTTCCCTAACTTTTAGAATAAGAGGCGGGGGTGGGGGGTGGGTAGCACAGGTGCATAATCCCAGCATTGGGTTCTGAGGCAGGAGGTGGTCCCAGGGCCAGGGGAAGATGACCTGGGAGGGGGTGTTCTTGTTCCGACTCCTCCCTTCTCTCTCTCTCTCTCTCTCTCTCTCTCTCTCTCTCTCTCTCTCTCTCTCTCTGCTTCCACTTCCTGGACACCATGATGTGAGCAGTTCTCTTCCTCCAGAGCCTTCCACTCCTGCCTTGGAGCCAGTTCTCCATGCCCTAAATGCTCTGAGCCCATGACCTAAAATAAACCTCTTCTCCTTGATTGCTTCCAGAGCCAGGTAGAAAGGGATTGATGCCCTAGGCAAGAAAATGATTGCAAAGAGTTACAAAATAAAGAGGAGCTAAGGACCAACTGTGTGGGCTTCACAAACAGAATCAAGAGAACAACACAAATCCAGGAACACAAGAGAAAGAGCAGAGAGCCCACGTGAGGGTGAAGCGGGCTATGTGCAGAGAGCATGCTGTGGGTGATGGAGCAGGGAGTTTGGGGGCCATTGCCATGCATTTAAAGCAGCTGAAACCTAAACAAATCCAAGTAGAGTTTTGATGCATGTCGCCGCCTCTTGTTCTTCCTTGTGCGACCCTGGCTAAAAGGCACAATTTTCTTCTGCCCACTGGTCTTTCTTTGGTGCAACAATGGGCCAAGGACAGACCCCGGTAGTGGCCGATGTGATTTGCTGCCCCTGCACCTCATTAGAAGGGGAGAGAAATAAAATCCTCACCACGGACACATTGGTTAAATGAATTACTTTGTTTTTCAAAAGAAGACCAAAGGGAAGTAACGTAATTAATTATCTATTAATTCTTCCATACTGAGAACATTAATAGTTATTCAGTCTCACACAAATTACCAACATGACAAACGGGGAAAATATGTCACCACAAATTAGGAAACATATTGCCAATATTGCATCCTTGTCTGGTTTTCTGTATTTATTAATTTAAAAAATACACTTCTACCATTCAATGTGCCATGACAGTATTTTATCACTTGCCTCATTGGTTATTTCTAGAATTGGAAATTTCTTTACACTCGGCCGTATGCATCTTATTAATCTTGATGCCTAATGGAGTATTTTATTTATAGTAGATCCTCAATAAATAAAAGCTGAGCAAAACAAGAGCGAAAAACTCTGCTAAAAGGAATCCTCTGCAGGATTTCATGGAAAGGCCGTCTTTTTATTCACATTTTCAGATTCTAAGATCACTTCACAATTACTCACCATGCACCATGCACTGACCTTTCTTATTTTTACCACTTGATAATTTCTGACAAAAAATAACTGTGCATATTAATAAGGTGCCGTGATGCATGCACACACACACTCTGTAATGATCAGATCAGGAAAGGGTCACATCCATCACCTGATCTATCTTTTCTGTGTGTTAGAAAATCAAAATGCTTTACACTAAGTATTTTGAAATATTCCATTACCTGTCAGTGATGATATCAGAAGTCATTTCTCCCACACACCTGTACCTGTACCCCTAAACATCTCCCCATCCATCCCATTTGCCTGCCAAGGCTCGGGTCACTGCCCTACCATCCGCCTCTGTGATGTGGAATTCAGTTTAATGAACTTCAATGGATAGGTTGATAAAGAAGATGTGATAGATATATAGAGATAAATACATGAAATAAATCAGGCACAGAAATGCAAATACCACACATTCTTACTTATGTGTGCACTGATCTCTTAAGTCTCTTATTTTAGAAGAACTGGAATCAATATTCCCGCATGTCCAAGTTTCTCTGAAAGGCACTGGTACAGAATGCATCCCTGTCCAGCACATCCTCCCTCTGAGCCCTGGGATGCTTGCTTTCTTTGCTTCTGCTGCACTGGGAAATGGAAATCAGGACCTTCCCACGCAGCTGTATCCCCATCCTTTTTTATTTTCCATTTTGAGATAGTCTTCGTAAGTCACTGCATGAAGCTATGCTTCTCCTGCCTCAGCTCTCCAGAGTGCTAGGGTTACAGGTGTGTGCCAGCTGGCTTTGGGTTTTAGGAAGCAAACTGAAAGCTATTTTTTAAGTTTTGCAGTAATATAAAGCATGTGTGGCAGTTGGTGGAAAAGGGCCATCTAACACTTCAGATCATTTTATAAGATGGTGCTCAGTGCTCACTCACTCATCAGGAAACAATCATTTTGTGGATGCAAATTTGCAACGAGAATCATACCCTGTCAGAAGGTGCCCCGCCCACACCAGTGTCACCGTGGAGTCCTCACATCCACAGGGCACTTGATACTCACGGATCTGGGTCGGGATCAGCACAGGGAAGACCCTGATCGCAGAACTTCCGCAGGAGCACAGGGGTGAGGTCCATGTCATCTGTCCCGCTGCTGCTCGGGGAAAGGAAACGCGGTGGAAAGTATAACACCCCCTGCCCAGGGCTGGGATCAGACTCTGCTCCGTACACGGCCGGGCAGGCCGATCCAACCACGCCATTCCTAGGGGCTTGAAGGGAACGAGTTCTCCATGGTTGTTATGGTAAAACCACATGAGCAGAGATAAAACTGAGACACTTCTAAAGGACACAGTTTTGCCACCACACACATGTGCGTGTGTTTTCACGCATTCACAGCGTATTGTTTTCCTCATCTTTCCACTTCATTTTGTAACAACCATCGTTTCACTTACATTGATTTAAAACAAATGTGAAAGACTGCATAATGTTACATCATGTTACTATATTAAAATCGATAAAACTATTTTGTAAATATCAGAGAGCTCTGGTTTGGTTTCAATGTTAATTCTGCTAAATAACCCTGCAATCAAGAATCATCTTATATCTTTTGTTTTCTAGATTTCGACTGCATTTACCTAGAAAAGGGCCTTCAATACAGAGCACTGTGGGCTTGAAGTCCTCTTTGACTTATGGTATTTATTCTGCTGGCCTAAATATCAGAAGCCTATTTATTACCAGGTCAAGCCACACTAATGAATCCCCAGTCACCAAGCCTGCATTTTTTATTAAAGAGACCATCAGCAACGAGATATTCATGTGGCTTCCAGGGTGATTTAGAAACAGGCACTGTATTCAATTTCACACATTTACTGTAAGAAATATCTTGAGTTGAGAAAAGTCAGAAGGAGAGATACCTAAACCCTCCAAATTGAACTGAGTGAAGAGGGGCCCATTTCAATCAATGAAAAAGTCTGAACTGCAACACTGAGAATGCAAATCTATTGCTTTCTAGAACTTCAAAACGCTGTGCTGTTCACAAAGTATTTGGGGTGCTGATGTTAGGAACATTTAGCCCAGATATAAAGAAGAATGATGTATAACTAACACAATAGACACTTTATGTATAAATGGGTGCCTGGAACCTTTCTGGGAACAACTACTGTGCAAATTACCTAACCCATAAGTGCCTTCTTATAAACAACTTACGCTGTGCACTTCTTTTACGAGACGGGAGTGACCTCAAAATAATCTTCAGGCACTGATTTTCTTATCTGATTTGCTTTTTTAGAGGGGAATAGAAGGTTGAGTCACATTATCTTTCCATATTGCTGTCAACAATCAAACATAGGCAGGGCTGAGTCCTGTGGGAACCTGGGCCTCATATAACTCAGCATGGGTACAGGCCCATTGGGAAAAAAAGTCCTTATTTTTGCAGAGAGACTAATACAAATGGTAGATTTCCACTCTCCTCATCTACTTCCCAAGTTCCATAACACACCACTCTGACATTTTCTCTGCTAAAAATTTGCCCTGAAACCAGTTATCTCACTTCCTGGTAGGGATCCAAGGGAAATGAAGTCAGGGAGAGCAGGCAGAACTGGACTTCCGTATTGATTCTGGCTTCAGTCAAAAGAGTCACGGATTAGACTCCACCTAGGTGACCATAGATGGATGAATAAAGGAACATCAAAGCACAAAGAAAAGTGAAATCTTGTCATTTACAGCCAAATGAGTGGAACAGGAGGACAGTTTGCTAAGGGAAACCATCTAAACCCTGACAGAAGAGTACCACATTTTCCCTCTCATAAGCAAGAGCTGCAAAAAGTCCACCTATCCACAGGACAGGGATGACTAGAGGGTGGAAAGGCTGTGGAGTAAGGGGAGACAGAAGAGATTTATTTGAGGCATGTACATGCAAACACAGGTTGAAAGGTCACACCATACCCACTAACATGCCAAGTTTATGTGCGTTAAGCAAAAATAAAGTCTAGCGTGATGGTACAGGCAGCACTCCAAGAGGCTGAGGCAAAACGATTGCAAGTTTAAGCCCAGCACAGTTTAGTGATTAGGGAGACTCTGAAACAAATATAAAATCATATGCACACATATGTTACATTATATATGTGTGTGTGTGTTTGCAGGGACCTAGATAGATAGTCAGTTCTGAGAGAGTTTCAGGTAACATTGGCTCCCAGAAAATGGCACCCAACCTGGCCCATCCCAGAAGAAGCATCTAGTGATTGGATGGCCCTGCCTTTAAGGCATGGGTCCCTCCAAGTCATTATTCCTGCCTCCTGGATGCAAGACTGGAAAACAAACACCACCTTTGAGCTTGGCTCCAATACTGCTCCCGCCAGGAGCCTGCCCCTGCCTCCTCCTCCTCCTCCTCCTCCTCCTCCTCCTCCTCCTCCTCCTCTAAGTCCTCCTCCTCCTCCTCCACCCTAATGGCTCTCATATACAGCTAAACTTCATTTTAACTCTGGCTTTCTCCTTCATCTCATTGCTGGAGCCAAACAATCTTGGGAGAAAAGATTTGACTTTTACAATAGTAACTGATCTTTAGTGGGTTTTCAAAATTAATCTGTCAAAGAAATTGTGGCATATCACTAATCCAATGGAATGATTGATCTAATCCTTTATGCTTATGCCATTATTTTAGCCCCCAAATCTGGTCTTCCCTGAACTCTTACCACTCAAACACAAACAAAATTTCATGCCAAAGAAATGGAAACTCATTACACCACGTGAGGATTTTATTTCTGTTCAGGACAGGAGTGTTTTAAGAGCTTTAACTGTGTATAGACCTAGACCACAAACACATGTGCAGCATCTATGCCAGACTGAAACAATTAAGTATAGGAATGTTTCCCATCCTGCTGCATAAAACAAATACCTTTAAATATAAGGACAGTTTATAATTAATTTATGATTCCCTACAGCTGTGCCTAGAAATGAACAACGATGACAGAGGCTGGACTGACAACTGTGCTGGTCCCATGTGTCTGTGATAAAAAAAATTCTGAGCACTTCTGTAAGAAAGTCACTCCCTTTCCACTAGGTTTCCTCTCCAGGAAAAGAGCCCTGGATCACTCCCCTATGATCCATTAATCCAAAACCTTTAAGATATATTTTCTTTAAAAAATGAAGTAGTTTACTTGCAGTAGTTTCTAAGAACAAACTAAAAACTTAAGCTTCATTTTTTCCATTACTTTTTTTTGTCTTAAGTCTGAAAGTCTAGTTTCCAAAAGCAATAAAAAGTGGCTCAAAAGTATCCTATGTGTCATGGATTTCAAATATTTATTCCTAAATTATCCCTTTTTGGTTGCCTTCAAGCTCTCAACTTGAAGATAATTGCAGTGTTTGGAGCATCTGATGTTTGCCCTTACTGTACCAGACCCTAAGACCTGAAGGTTACCACACAATCGTGCTACTGAGGAAGTTTATAAATAGGGTCTCTTTCTCTTTCCCAACCATTATTACTCAAAATCTGATTTGTGTAAGAGTGACCAACTCGGTGTGTTTCTGAATGTTATGGTTTATGTCTGGAAGTTCCCCCAAAGCCTTATGTGGCCATAGGATGGCAGGCTTTTCAGAGGCAGCTGAATCTAGAGTTTGTGACTGGTTTATTGTCTAATGCTAAAACTGGCAGTGTGAGCACTACACCCACCATAGGATGGGTAACCTGGATTCAATGTAAGGGAAGGAAAGAGGCTTGCTCCTTTGTTTTGCCCCTTTGCTCCCTTTTTGCCTCTTATTGCTTTTGCTATATTCTACCACCATGAACTGTTTGCCCCTCTACCATGTGCCATCCTCCCTTTGAGCCAGAGGATTACAGACTGAAACCTCCACAGACTGTGAGCTACATAAACCTTTACTCCCTTAATTCTGGGTGTCAAGTATTTTGTCTCAGCAATGAAAGAAATGTAACCAAGACACTAAGCAACATCCTATAGGGTAGCCCAGCTTAACAGGTGCTCACAGTGATTCTGATACAGAGGGGATCAAACCAACCTTGCCAGGCACTGGATCCTCGGCTCTCTCCCCTTCCTCACCTCCACTCAAAGCTCTAGTCTCTCTACAATTTCTGATTCACCCAGCTCTGATACTGGTAATCACCCAGAGAACTCTTAGGACAGTGGTGGTGACCTACAGCACCTATCCTCCAGTGAACTGTTTATATAACTGAAAGATCTAAAAGTTTCACTATAATCATTTTAGGCTTTTTGGGCAATCTATCAGGCAGAGGTTATTCAGGCCATCACCACTGTGACTACAAGCTGAGTCCTTGAGTGCAAGTGTGGCCTTCAGAGACCTGCAGATCTCCAGTGATGCTGACCTTGGCCTCCTCTAATTTATCGGAAGAGTTGATGCCTTCATGTTTCTGAAATAAGGAGGCTCTGAAAAGGAGAAAGGTGCTTCAGCTACACAGGGGAAAGGTCCCTCAACCACTTGTCCCCAACAGAGGCAGTGTGTGCTTTGTCTCCAGCTCTGAGAATTGCCTCCTGTCCACAGTGACATCCTATCAGATCTGACAAAGCAGCACAGGTGACCACCAACCAGGTATCCTAGGAATACTCGCTGTAGATGCTCACTAAAAATACACTCACCAGATGAATACACAATTTAACAACAAAAAACTACTTAGAGGTGAGAAACAGAAACCGAGGCTCATACACCTGCATAAGATTTTCTAACCCAAGAAAGGACAGTTTTGTGACTATAAAAGCAAAAATGTAAATTAAATGAGTAGTCACCATTGAGATACAAAAAGTGCCATGGTAGAAATATCACAGAGACAAAAGGAAAGACAAAGAAATCTTCAAGGCATGATACAGAACTTGAAAGATGGATCTAGGAGAGCATAGCATGAGATGTAAAAAGGCATTCTAAGGAGAGACAAGGGGAAATGGATGTGAGGAAATGATTATATCAACAATAGAGGACAATTGGCTTGATATCAGTAAAGAATGATGTCTGCAAGTCTGCTGCAGAAAAGATTTCAAAAAGGAAAGCTTTCTCCTCTCCAAGGATAAAGAAGGAGTCTCACATATCACAGTTGCATAGAAAAAGAAAGAGAATCAGGAGGAGTACTCCAAACCAGCCTGCATGCCTGGCAGCTACAAGAATAAACTCCATTATAACACACCCCAGAGTTTAAGACTTCTTAATGTCTCTCTTCTCTCAGTTTGAAGAAGCAGGGCTCTTCTACTTAGAATGCTTCATGACATCTGCAGGAAGCCCTGAGTCTTCCTGAACTGCCCTCATTTCTCACACTTACCCTCTAGAAGAACTTTCCCACTCCTTCCTCTAAAAGAAACTTTCTTTCCTGTTTGCCTGGGAAATACATATTGATCTTTCCAGACTCTCACAGATGCCATGGTTTTATAAAGATCATCCTTTATATCCTCAAATGGTGCCTCTTGTAACTTAGGTACAACTCCCGCGCCAAGCACCTCACAACAGTTAGGAGACCCCTGTCTGCCTCACAACCTGAATGTTAACTCTCTCAAGACAGGCCTTGCATCTCTGCATATTGCTATGGTTTGGAAATGGTTTGAGTGGGTCTCCCTGAACTTCATGTGCTAGGCTTCTGGTTCTAGTCTGGGCGTGCTAAGGTGATGAAACCTTCAAGGCATGAGTCTTGTGGAATGTAGTCAAAACCCCTAGGGTTTTGGTCTCAGAAGGGATTCACACTAGTCTCCAGGGGTTGTATTAGCTCTCAAGAGAAAGGTGTTAAAGCTGAATCTGGAGTGAACTCAGCCAAAACTGAGGCAACCAATATCAATGACTGATCGGGGTTCCTCCTTCAGAGTCTTTCAACCCCAAGTCTATAAATTTACAGCTCTGTCAGGGTCTTGAGTTGATTCTCTGGTGGCTCAACTTGGGCTCTTCTGGATTTCTGGCCAGCAAACCCTGATATTCCCTGACCAGAAGATGGTTATAGCCTCCATGTGTGAGGCACGCAGCTCTCCACAGAGCAGTGTGTGCAGAATCTTCTGTCAGCCTACAGGTAACTGGGGGAGAGGCGGGGAGCACACACTTTATAGACTTCGATGAAATCCTCAAGTTCTGGAATGCATCTGACTTCTGACTTCCTGATAAGGGCCTGGATGCCAGTGCATGCCGGGTCTCATGTCCTGCTCACCTGGTATTCTGGGCTGTCATTGGGAGGAGCCAACCACACAGTGGTCAAGGGCCAAGTGGCCCCACTGGTCTACACACATTTGCTGTGAGGCAGCCTGAAAAGAGCAAAGGCTTCCCAAAATGCATTGCTGCTGACCTCAGAAATATGGAGAGTGTTCATAGAATTTTTTCCCTTGTTAGTGATTAAAGCCAATGCTTTGCATGGATGAGGCAGACACTGCCACCACTGTCACCCCAGCCTGCATATTAGAAAGTTGTTATTTGAAATCCTTAAGTATATCAAAGTGATTGCTGTTTGTCTTCATCCAGGCTGTCCTCACAAAAGACTATACACCGGGAGACTTCTCAGCAACAGAAACTTATATCCCATAGCCCTGGAGACAGGAAATCAGGGACCAGTGTCTCAGCCCGGCCAGGTTCCACAGGAGCTTCTTCTGGGTCACAGGCACCTGCTTAATTCACATAGAACTCACAGTGTCATTAATTATACTGATGCACAGCCATGGCTGGGGCCAGGCCTTGCCCTGGGCTCAACAGACAAACCCATGCAAAGGACAACCACGGTGACTGGGGTTTGCTGGTCACAGACAGCTCTGGAAGCTGATTCCTCAAGCTGTAAACAACTGACTGTCTCACCTACCACTCGAGAGGCAATGAAGCCATCTTTATGTCTCATGTCTGTTGTTCTAGACAGCATTTCTGCTCACATCTGGAATTCTCAGCGCCTAGCTGGCTCTGGGAGCTGCCCCCTTTATGAGAGATTTCTGCTTTGCTTTGTTCTATTTAAAGAAAAAAACTATATTATATTACATTGCTCTGGGGAATGTTCCTTTAACAATGTCCCCACAGGGAAGAAAGCCTGTCTCTAGCTGGTCTCCTGATCTCTTCAGAGGGCACAAATCCCACTCGTAAAGGACCCAGCCCTCCAATCTACTCAGCTCCCAAGGCCCTGCTAGTTCGGCATCTGCCCTGGAGTGCTGATTTCCACACGTGGGTTTCGGGGAAACACATTCAGTCCAAAACGCTACTCACAACTCAATGGATGTGTTTTGAGATGAAAAAGAGAGTGCATTTCTTACCTGAAAAAGTACTTCTCTGCCCTCTCATAGTGGCCCAGTGTCATTTGGAGTGGTGGGTATTCAGTGGCCAGAGGCTGCACCATGAACAAGCCCATGGCCAAGGCTACGAAGAGGACAGGCAGCAACAGGTCACAGGCCGTGCTCTTCCAGGCTCTGCACGTGCAGAGCAGCCGCTTCCTCAGGAGTGCCACCATCTGTGTCAGGAGCAGCTGGTGGCCACAGACCAGTGCAGGCGGGGTTTGTCGAGGTGATGTCTCCACCTCACCTGTAGCCAGAAGAGGTCACTGGGGTGAGTGGGCTGTGGCTGCAGGTGGATGTGGCTCCCAGCACCTGCCTGGCTTTTCTAATGGTGACTTTTCTATAGCGACCCTTTCAGAAGACCACGCATGCTCAGTTTGGCACCTAAAGGGCCACATGTGGTCCTCGTGTGTCCCTGCTCTAGAAGGCAAAACTCTGAGATGATGTTTAATGGTGGCATAAGACACCAGGCCAACGTGGAACTCTGATCTTGCTCCTGAGAGCAGAGGGACAAATGGGCCAGGAGAGAGGGACATGCTTACTTTCAGTGACTGCCATGAAGCCTGATACCTAGATGTAGATTCCAATGCCTCAAAGACAACAGCTGCAGGACGTTCTCTGAGACCCAAGCACACTGACAGAGGAGGTGGGCTGTGGGGTACAGGAGAGCTGTTCCCGTTAGGGCTGCTCTCCTCCCCTTTCCTGTCATCTTTCCCTCTTAACATTTAACCAGAAGTCTCTCCTGAGAAATCCCCTGCTTGTGAATGATTCAGGTCTCAGGGCAAAGCCATGCCACCCAGCTGCCCCTGGTTCAGCCTTCAGCAGCCCCTGTTGCTCCTTCCTCCTGCTCAGCCAAGGCAGAGGGGAGCCATCAGCCCTCAGTCAGGACCCCCATGCCACACAGCCACCCCCTTCCCTGTGGACCCCGGCAGTCCTGTGTCCCCTCCTTTCTCCTCTGTGAGACCCAGCAATTCTGAAACTAGTCCCGACATCACAAAAGTCCATGAGTAAAATTCAGAGGAAAATCCTGCTTTGTGCTGTGGTGATCAGCCGAGAATTCTGCAAAAAGTCTTGGTACACAGGTTGTAGGTTAAGGGAGCCATTTCCACGGGAACAGTGAGGGGAGAAGTCAGTCAAAAGCCAGGCAGACTCAGGGCTGTCCCCGAGACCATGTGTCACACAGTGACCAGTTTGTTCCATGAGTGACAGCATCTTGCCCCAAGGGGCTCCCTACACAAACTCAACACCAAGTATTTCAGAAGAAAAGCAGTTTTAGGAAAGAACAGACACACTAGACAGATTTTCAGGCTCACACATACTGAAGTGAAACACAGTCACTAGAAGAGCAGCTGCCAAGGTCTTTCCCAGCAGCTGGACCACTTGGAAAGACGAGTGCTTTTTACACAGCCTTGTAATGGGGCTACAGAGCCAGAAAGGGACACGGATGGGAACCAAATTGTGGCGGTCCTGAGACACGGACTGCAGACCCTGTGTGTGGCAGGCGCTGGACTATGTGGTTTCCCTTCTCACAAAAATGCACAACAGAGGAACTGAAATGAAAACATAAAAAAATCACCCAAAGCAGAAGTGGGCGTTGTGATAGAGGGGTGCAGACCCAGTGCCAAGGGGTGAGCCCCTCCAGGATGCTGGAAAGCAGGCAGAGCTGCAGAGGCATGGGAGGGTGGGAATTTAAGATGCAGTTTCTTCAACTCGAACAGGAGATGCAAACAGGCACCATGCATTCTGTGAATCTTGCAGAGGTGGGCAGCAGGTGCTGTTGACCACAGCAGTACAGGAGACAAAATGGGATGGAAGAGGTCGTGACTGCCCGAGCCCTGGACCAGGCACCCAGGTCACAGTCACTAAGTGGACTTGTGCTGTGTAATAGCCCATTACCCTTTGCTGTAAATACACAGGGATCTGAGAGGTGGTTTGTAAGCCACACACACCTTAGTCACCCGGAAACATGGCTGAAATGCTGACTTCCAGGCTCCACTACAGACAAAAGTGAGTTTAGCTTTCCAGGGGTTCAGATGCGTCCCTCTGGGCCCTGAGATCACCACATATAATGCATGGACCATGCTGACACCAGGAGTGACTCAACCCCCCACAGAGAGGCCATAATGCCCATAAAGTATAATATGAGGCTCGGTGCAACCCTGCCACATATGCACACATGCCCTTCCTGATAATTTTATGGGGTTATAATTCCAGTTAACACCAATTTGTGGTCTGATGGATGCAGAGCTAAAAGGATCATTATGGAAGCTGTCTAACTCGAGCAAAAATAATTCCAATGTTTTGGGGTTGCCTGTTTCCAGGATTTCTAACTGTAATTATTGATATATCTGCTCAATGTATTCATTGTGTTTTAACGTAGCAAGTTTTTCCCTCCTGTAGAGTAGGATGGTTTACTTCATTTAGGTTCAAGTGGAACTCAAAGGTCTCTGGTCGGTCCTGTGATTTCCCTCCCTACTTTTATCATTAGCAGCTACCAGAAGGTACAGTCCACGGTTTACACAAGTAACAAATTTGACATCTAGCTGCCCACACTTAGCAAGTCTGCCAGTTGTGCAGTGTTTCTTATAAGACACAGCAGGCAAAGGCTGAGAGTACCTGTGTGCATAATAGGAAGGGGCACGCTGGGTATCCGCGGAGCGAGTCTGCCCTGGTGACAGGTGGGCATGCAGGCAGAGACAGCACAGGGGCTGGTGCTGCCGACTGTGCTCACTGAGGCAAGCATCGAGGTGGCAGTGGTGACCGGGACACAAATCCAATCTCAGTCACCTACATCCTGGGAGACTCCTGGAAAACCATGTATCCCTCTAAATGCCGGCTCCCTTATAAACTACAGACTTACAGCATTTTCCTCCCAGATGGTGAAAATTATTATTAGAGCATTTATTAAACCATCAGAACAGGCACACACTGACCTCCATCACAGCAAATGTTTGTGTGACAGTGTCAGTAAGTCTGTAGGGAAAGATGTGTCTCATATTAAGAAGAATAAATTTTCTCCACCTTCCCGTATACTTTAATTGGACATAAATGAGAATCATTGAAGGCTGGGATAGTTTATGGTTATGAATTCACCAGGATCAAATATTCATGGCTAAATTTATAAAGCTCTTCCCATGAATAATTTAACAGAAAAAAATCAAAACGCTAGGCTAAGTTGTTACGAATTGTCTTATTTGACTAATGAGTGCAATTAAAGGCAAGGACTCGGGGGTATCTCCTCACCTAGGCATTCCCAGCAACCCCTAGACTATCGAGTTGCTTAAGGAGACTGCCCAAGGTTTTCTCTTTTCTTTTTTTATTTCTTCTTTTCTTTTCTCTTTTCATCAGTGGTTGCAGTGGTTCAAGCATGAATGCTTGGTGGGGAACAGCTTAGAATATTAAGAACTTGGGAGGCTCCTCAGAATACAAGGTCCACATAACCAGCTCCACCAAAGTCTTCCTGAAGTTTTACAATGAAGTTTTATCAGTGACAGTTTTCACTTCAGTATAAACAAGATGAACACTGCAGAAGAAAGCAGACACACAGAAGGCACAAAGACCCACAAACAGCCAATCTGTGAATGCTGTCAGCTGAGGCAGTAATTTGGCTTTAAAAGATCTAAGATAATGTTAACACCTAATCTTAAGGAGTGTTCAGGGTAAAGGTTCTCATACATGGCTGGTGGGAGAACAGGTCTCTAAGATAAATAGAACTACACGCACAGGCCTTCTTACATCTACCTCACATCCAATCTCAAAGTTTATCATCTAAAAATCAGAAATGCATCAAAAAGATAAAGCAAGGTGATTTGTGATCTCCTACAGAAAACGTTACTGGTAGTTGGAGAAACTTAAACGTCTAACCCAAGAGGACCAACTCAGCACATTACAGGGCCAGGTGCCTTTTACCAAACAACTTCTACACCCCACGTGCGATTCCATGAAGGAGTTTAATCCACATGGTCACCCTGAGCCCAGCTCCACTCTCTTGAAGATTTAGTTATATGTCATATTAGGACTACTCTGATTTTTTCTCACAAGTTTCTGGGCCTTTGTCACCAATGAATATTTTTATTCATCTTGTAGTCAGTAATTGTCCTGTAGACACCACACTCACAGGAAGCCCAGTTTTATGAGACAGAAACACTGTAACATTCTGTTCTCTGGGTTACAGAATTTTAAAACTGAAATAGCTTTAAAACTATGTAGCTCAGACTTTTCATTTATTTATAATCACACTCTATTTAGAAGTTATGGAAGAGGTTAAATTCAAGGGAGTAAAATGTGTTTACTGGTGTCTGTAGTTCAGGTGGTTCTTGCACCACTTGAATAAAGTTCTCAGGAACTCGGTCATGGAAAAGCCAAATATGTGAAAACCAAAAGCAGTCAGCTAAGCCTGAGCTGCCCTAAGGAGGGCTGCCAACACCGGTACTGGAGATTTAGAAAGTGTTTGCTGATGAGGGGTGTGGGGATAAGGAGAGTGTGCAGGCTGCTCCGAGATCTGAGGAATCCCGTGGATCTGAGGCACAGACACCTCAGCTCACAGGGGACATGTGAAGGCCACTTTCCACTGTGCTGCGGTCCTGACCCTCAACTTCTGTGCCAAGCACGGGCAGGGAGAAGCATGAGTGGGCATCTCAGTGTGATAGAACCTGGTGAGCAGCACGGAGCCCTAACAGTGCTAGTCATTCCCTTGGGAACAAATTCTAGTGAGATCAGTGGCTGCCTTGGGTATGGGTATGGGCTCTGCCAACGTCCTGATGAGGTGGCCATGCAGCCCAGCACCCGGAGTCACAGTGCCTGGGTTCCAGCTTGGCTTCTAGATTCCTTTCTCCAGCTTCATTCCTTTACTCGGAAAGCTTAATCCTGCCCATGCGTTTCTTCCAGTTCCTTTACAGTTTTGATTCTACTCTCAGGCTTGGTGATCACACCTAGTAGAGTCACTCATTGTACAAAACATCAAGGTTTCAGGAGCCTTCGTAGAAGCAGTACACTGTGAGAAGCACATCAGTACTTTAGTTCATGAAGCACACTCTCAAGATGTATGCAGGTTGGCACTTACAGGTTTAGGTTTTCATTTTAAATATCATAGGTTAGCTTTTTGGACACAGGTGGCCAGGCCACAGACAGGTCCTCGAGTGTCCCACGGAGCTCTGTGGGAAGCTGAGGGTAGAGAATGGGGTGAGAGGGGCCACCAGAACACTAACAAAGGCTCTGTTTCAATATGATCTTTAAGACAATGAACAT